GACACCCTGACGACACACGATGTCAGAACGAAGTCAGGCCCGACGACGCCCTGACGACACACGATGTCAGAACGAAGTCAGAAGGAAGTCAGACGATGTCAGGCCATCACTACGGTCAGGCTCTCCTTTCAACACCAATCTCGGAGATTGCACTTCCTCCCATTCCTTTCTCTCAACACACGCCCACGTGTTTCGCAGATGCACGCGAAAGGGTACCCTTCTTTCCTTTCCTCCCCTATCTTTTTTCCATTCAAACCCGGCCGAATGTTACAAACCTACAGCGGACACACCGCCCCCCTAACCTATACTTACAGCGGACACACCGCCACTTATAACCTCAACTGCGGTCTCTCTCAGAAATCTATAGATCGAATTCGCCTGCAGCGGGTACACCGCCCAACAAACGCTTTTCACCCTGTTCATATAGGGCTCTCTGTCTGTGTCTGTATGTGTGTGCGTAATGATGTTCACGTCTATAGAATCTCTTTTATGTTTGCAACAGCCCACAAAAAACAAACTACAGAATGGAATATCTTATGAAACTTTGCCCACTCAACTAACCCTCAGCAATTTCATATCAAGGGGCTGTAATGTTGACATTACGCTGTAGACTGCTGATTCCAGCGTTTTAATCAAATCCACACACAAAAACCTTAAAAAATCAACTTTTTCATGACATTTTTAAGAAAACCATGAAAAAACTTTGAAAAAATTAGGTTTTTGTAAGTAGGCTAAGTGCGCCCCTAAGTAGAATAAGTAGGTTTTCGCTTCCGTACTATTCCGACTTATAACTGACTTATAAATGACTTATAATTTTTGTATATACACTGTATCTAGCGTAAGTCTGGCCGAATACTTATGGACACTTAACCCATTTACCATCACATATAACCTTACATATCCACACATATAACCTTACATATCCAAACATATATCTACGGTATGTAAGGCGGACCTTGTGGTAGCCACGGACTGATTGAACGAAGAAATTTGAAATCTTAAACCAAGCCTGCAACGGTCCAAACAACTGTTCAAAAGCCGTCTTGCTCACGTGCTCGGTCAGGCTGGTCCACTTGTGTGGGACGCCTGGGCAATGCATGTAAGGATGAAAGTCAAATCAGCCAAAGTCAGCCTGACAGCAAAGTTTCTTTGAAACTGACTACCAATTGTCATCAAGAAACCTGCAAAATATTCTGCCACCCGAGGGGGAACAAATTTCTTCTTGTTGCGCAATTCCTTAGGAACACTTTTCTTCAGCTCCGCTCTGTACTTGTCCCAATAGAACACCTGTGTCCCAAAATCCTGGAAGGAACGGCTCAAGGAATCATAAAACAAGGCACGTGGGCTCCGACTCCAACTGGGTTTGGTCTTGAATCGAAAAACAAAAAACAACAGCTCCTGTCGCCCCCTCACAGACAAGTATGAGGTGTTGGCTCGGTATGTTGCTCCGAAACACCCTCATGGCCGGCCAGAATTCATGGCCAGTCCACTGATCGCAAAATCACACAAAGCATCAAAGTGTGATTTCCATCTTGTTTGCAAACGAAAAACTAATGGTGCCCCAAGTCTTCATGCGCACTGTCTTGCCCACGATTTTCTTGGTCTTCAAAGTCGCCTTCTTCGAGACACGCTTTGGAACCTTTGCAGGAAGATAAAATGGAACAGGTCACAAGGTGTGAATACTTACAAAACCGAAACTCAATCAACATGTCAAGGCAAAGAGCTAAGCGAACCTTCTCAGGCACCGCTCGTGGCAAGCACATCGGTTTGAACGAGTGGACCTTTCCCGAGCTAGGGTCCTTCCAGCCAAACTTGGGGAACTTCTGGCCCTTGATGAGTCTAGGTGCGGGTCTCACACCCGGGGTGCAAATTTGCAAAAGGATTCCAACACAAAAGAATGACCGAGTTGTGGGCTTTGGAGTTGGAACCCTTGACCACAGGCTTGCCAACCATGGGCTCGTCACTCAGTACGCAAGGGTATGGCCAACAAAACACGTGATCACTTAATAACAAAAGCGGCTGGCTAAGGAGCGTGCTCACTCAACGCGGAAATCTGCTGGAGAGGCATGGTGTCGCGGTCTCTCACACCCGGAGCCAACAAAATGCAATCTGAACACAACAGTGTTACTGTTGTAAGGCCACTTCAATCTAAATCACAACGCTCACAGTGAACTCTCTGACTCTTTGCTTGAAAGAGTTGCTGACTGTGGTTTCTCTGTGACTCAGAGGTCGATGCCGGAAACAAAACACACCAAAACTGCACCAACAACATTCTTCATACGGGCGGCGAAAAGACCTGGGTAGGGAAAGGGTGGCTCGTGAGGATAAAGAGTTAGACTCGGCAGTAGCCAAGAACTGGTGGCGGGGTGATTGTTACCGCATGCCACAATAAAAATACAAAGCTCACCAACAGCTGGCCCCAAAGACCAGCCAATTGTGGAGAGAAACCCGTTGGTTGGCATAAACACAATATAACTTGTTGAGGGATGATTTGTTTTTTTTCTTAAAGCGCCAGTCTTTCGCTGGGTGAAACCGAAAAGTATAGCTTGCAAACTAAACTAGAGTTGTCTCCTCCACAGCACGAATCCACAATCTCTTCTGGCATAGTAGTCGAGTAATCTCAAAAAGGCACCATCAAAACAGGACACCCGGATGCAAACTGGACACCCGGAAGTAAAGGAAGTGAATTTTATCAGATGTCTGTAGATGCCTTGCTGCAGCCCCTGCCGAAGGTCGCACGAAGAAAGAACAGGCGACTGGGCTGCGCTATATGCCCTGCGGACTTATGTTTTGTCCGGAGGCACGTGCGCGGCTACCGTTTTCCTCCTCTGTCACCGACGCCATGCACGACTACTTCTCTAATGGCGTTTGTTCGCATGAGATCGGATATATGATCTCTGAACTTGAGTCACACGGTGTGACACTGACGGCACTGTGTGATGCTGCTGTGGAGAGCAGATGGCGTCGTCGAACACAGGGTACGAAATTCCGACCCCTGTATTTGTCGAAAGAACTCTTGCGTCCAAAAATGTTTGAGGGCGGTGCCTTTCGTGGTTGCGCCGCAGATTGCGCAGCTTTGTTGTCTTTGCTTCACTTCTATGTGGTCCGTCTCCTCGTTGAGAGGGACCGTAGCGTGGCAAAGACGACATCCTTCGAGGCCTTAGTGGAAGTATGCCGTGAGATTTCAGGTTTGAGATCCTGCGTGGAACTCATCTCTGATCCCGACAAGGTATTACCACTGGCCAGGAAGCAAGAAATCCATCAGGTAGCTTTCGTGGCTGCCTATGGCGAAGAATGTGTGCGACCAAAACACCACCACAGAATGCACTTACCGAGAGACATCCTCAAACTTGGATTTGTCCCACATTGTGCCCCCATGGAAGCAAAGCATCGAGCTTTGAAGGGTGGAAGAATTGTGGACAACCAGAAGCGCTATGTCAACGCGCCCGCGGATTTCCAAGAGGGGGTGCTGCCTCGGCTCCTGTTGGCGGACATATCCGAAGATGATCCCTGGACGTATGTCTTGCTGGGAGTGTCACATAAGCTTCGTCCCACGCTCGGCCTTTCTTTGGCGACGACAGTCTGCAACACAGTACCACTGCGCGTGGTCTGATCGGCTCTCTCCACGTGGGAGATGTGGTGATCTGGAAGTGGCCCTCGCGGGGCGCGTGCTGGAACTGGTCCGGTCGACCACTACACCGCTGCACGTCTCTGTCAGACGCCTGCGGCACTCTGGAACCACCAAGTGGGGTTCGACGTGGCGTCTGACAGACGAGGTGACCTGGCATCGAGTGGACCAACCGACTCGATGGCTACCGGCGAGCTGGTGGCGACAGATCGATCAAAGTATCGACTGTATACACTGAAGCGCAAGCGTCGGCTGTAGCGTTTAGCTGAGACCTCCCCGTTCGCGCGCGGAAATAAAGCGTTTTTTAGGGAAAAAGAAGGTAGTTAGTTCTTAGTTATAAGTTATGAACTACCTATGGAACTTATAAATAGGAAATAACTTAGTTATACGAGTTATAACTAAGATATAACTGACTTCTTCTAGGGTAAGTTAGTTATAACTTTACAACAACTAAGATTCCATATTGTAGGTCTCACCAATTTTCTACCCGACTCCCGACAGAAAAGGATCCACTGCCAATTTTCTTCCTCTTCAAGTTTGGTGGCTTCTCACTTTTCCTTTCATGTTTGCATTTGACTTTTACACTCTCCTAACATGACCCTCGGCTCCCAGTATGTTGACAAACTCGTTCCGATTTCAATTTCAATTTCCTCCCTCCGTGCCATGACTCGCGCGACCCCACCACCTTGCGGCTTGACTACAACAGAGGGCATTCCTATGGTGGCACAGGCAGTTCTACATCGCGAACTACTTCATGTACATGCTTCGTTGCCACATACACACCCTTCTTCGACAACCTCTTGCCCTTCGTTCCCCTCCACTCCTCGATCGGGTGACTCACCGACCAATACACACCACCCAACTCCACACGGCCCAACTCGGATCGAGCCTCCTCTGCAGCCCCCGCACTCGTTTTGCGCCCCCGTCCTGGCGATTTTCCACACTCACTACCCACACCCCCGGACTCTTCCACACCCATCTCACGTCCCACCACACCCCCACAAGCCTTTCAACAATCCCCTCCACCGTCTCAGCCACCTTCCTCCTCACTTTCCAATCCTGAAGCTGAAGAACTTCGTCAACTACGTTATCAAGTTCAACAACAAGAAGATGCCAGACATATCACACCTCTTTTCGTTGTGGGTTTCCCTCGAACTTCCCACGTTTTGGAGCCGTCTAGGATCTTCCACAGCCACTTTGCGTTCAACACCAATGCGCACGAAGCCATGTTTGCGCACAGACCGAGGCTTTGAACTTTACACATACTTTGCGGGGACGGCGCGAGTGTAACAAAAAACTGCCTCCTGTCACGTGAGTTTCCGACTGCCCAAAGGAACCCCGGCTCCTAGTTAAAGTAAAAGCGTTTCTTTGCGTTTTCTTTACCAAAAAAGCCTTGAAACTAAAGAAGAAACACACATATATACATATATATATATTTATATGTATTATAAAAAAAATATATATATATATACACAACAAGTCTATTAACTGAGCACCTCATCATTGCGCTTATTTAAACATGCATGTGCCAGAACTAGGAAACAGTACGTTTTTCTCATTGAGCCAATGTCATTGTGAAACACCTTCCCAATTGCGCAACTAACAGTAGCTGCACAATTATGAGCCGCCTGAGCACCACGCATAATGCTTAGTTGGCCCAAGCATGGTGGATCAGCGTCAATGAAAAGACCACCTCTTTCAGGGGGTGGTGGGAAGGCAACAAAGGAGCCGTCGTCATCGGCTCTATGACAGCCGCCTCTATATGGCTCAAGCCAGAGCAGCATTGTTATTTTTTGGGGGGAGTGGCGGGAAGGCAACAAAGGAGCCGTCATGGGCTCTATGACAAGCCGATTTTAGGACACCCAGATGCATTTAGGACACCCGGATGTAAAGGAAGAGACTTCATTTTGCCCGGCCTGTCCGAGGCCAGCAGTGCAGGTATGGCCGCAAACCGGCCACGCAGCCTAAGCAACCTTCAGGGCCAGGGTGTGTCGCTGTGGCCAAGGTGTCGTTTCTGGGTGGCTCCCCGGCTGGGCTGCCACGTACGGTGCTAGCAGCCGAGGCCTGCTTCTTCTTTTCTAGGCTTCCGAAGGCAACGGCCCCCCTCAAACCCCTGGCCGCAAACCTGCAACGCAGCCTTGCCTGGCAAAGCTGCTGCGTGTCACTCTTTTGGCTGCTTTGTTTTTTCTATTTCTTCGTTTCGCGCTTGCGCTGTCCAACTTGCCAGCTGTGTTCCGGGCATGGCTTTCCCGCTGGCGTGTTGTGTCTGCTTCGAACGCGCCCAAACAACTGCAATGACCAGACCACAGTGTGGCAAGCTGGGCATTTGTGCGGACGCTGCCGTGTCTTTGCGCTAACTGCGCCTTCTTTGACATAAAACTGGTTGCCGCGCACGGTTCGGTGATCCATCCGCCCTGTCTTCACGTTACTCGCCAAAGTTCCTTCGCAAAACGGGCAAACATAGACAAACTCCCTCGCGGCCACGTGGCCGTCTTTGACACGAAACCGGTTCCCGCACGCATGGCGGTGATCTATATGGCCTGTGCGCACACTGCTGGTCACAGACGCCTCACAAAAAGGACACGCATATTGGAACCTTTCCCTGGCCCTCTCACCTTTCACGTTGCTCGCGCAGTCCTTGCAGATACGTCGGTCGGCGTTGCGCGCCTTCCGCGCGGCTACCTCGAACGCACTTTCCGGCTTGGCCGTACCGCATCTGTAGCACCGCTTCTGTGCGCATTGGGGGCGCGCGTACATTGTTGCAAAGGCGTCTTCGTGCTTCCATGCCTTGCAAACTTTGCATTGCCAGGGCGTGTTGTTGGCAGCGTGGTTACGTACGCATTCTCTGCAGACCCGTGCGTCCGCGTCCCGTTTCCATTGCCCGGCGCTGTACCCGCTTTTGGGCGCTTTCGTGGCGCTCGCTGCACACCTCCTCCTCGCGGTACCGCGCGCGCAACGTTGCCCAGTCGATGCTCTCTCCGCGCCAGGCCTGCAACAGCAAAGCTCTCCCTATGCTGCGTCCTTTCTGGTAGGGCGCCGCTTCGAAGGGTCTGTATATGTGTAACCCATGTCTATCTTTCACTCGCGTCACAGCGATGTATGCGGTCAGGGGGTCTCCGCCTTCCCCGATCTGCATGTCCGTGACCACTCCCTCTGCATAAGTTTGGCCTTGCTCCGCGTGCGCCGTCGTGGCAAACCCGGGGGCCAAAGGAAATTGCCGTCGCACCACCCGCAGCAAGGGGCGCTTTCTGCCCTTGTCCAGATGCCACACTTGCCGTTGAAGCGTCACCGGAAAGACGTTGTCCGTGGCCAGCCCCTGCGCTCGCCACTCTGACTTGGTCTGGAACCGGACAAAGATACAAGATGGGAGCTGGTTCCAAATATGCGTCGTACCCCCTGCTGCTGTGCCTGCTGCTCCTTGCCAGCTCCATCCAACAACTCTGCCGGGACATCCCTTCAGTATGCCTCTGCGGCGATCCAAGTGATCTGTTGCCGTGACAGGCATGCCGGCGCACAACGGCAACACCCCGTAAAGCCCGCCGCAGTCCTGATCGTGACGTTGCAGCCACGTGACCTTGTCTTTGCCCAGGTCCGGTTTTTCTTGCAACGCCCGGCTGGAAATTGTGTCTTTCGCAACGGCATATTTGACCTCTTGCCCGTGCTTCCGTGCCCAGTCTAGCGCCCGCAGCTTATTGACGTGGTACTTCACCGCATTCGTCGCAAACACAGCCTTTCCTTGCTCCAGGTTCCTTGGCTCGACACCGCTCATGTCTGCTTCCAGCACTCGCTTCTTCGAGGCGCGCTCTTGCTTGCGCTGCGTGCACTCGAGTCTGCGAATGCGCGCTGGGGCGACTTGGCCGTGCAGTAGCGCTTTGCACGTTGCCTTGTCGCAGTCAAGTTTCTCTCCCGACCAACTGCCCGGGACACCCGTGTCGTGCCCATGCAGGAATGCGTGGTTGTCGGCGCTTATAAGGCACCTTCCCGAAATCTGCCGTTGCAGATTTTGGAGCCATGTGTCTTGCGCGCGCTCACATTGCTCTAGTTCCGTGATCCCGTGGACGACGCTCTTTTCTGCTGGCGAGCCCGCGGTGGACTTGAGGGATTCTAACTGCCACCGTGCCAACACCGGACCACGCCCACAGACCAGCGACCGTTCGTAAGAAGCAGTGATGTCAGCACCTGGGCTGCATCACCGCAAGCCTCACCTGGTCAGCTCTGAGCTGCCAGGCAAGGCCCTCACAAACGGTCGCCGGTCCGCGTGCGTTGTCCTTTGTTGGCCAGATGGCCATTGGCATCCCCAAAGTCCACCACTGCCCCTGCAGCACCCCAGCCCACCACGACCGTGCATAGTACTTGCACTCCCTAGCTTCAGCCTCCTAAGGCTAGAACGCCCATCTTCTTTCCACAGACGGGCAACCACCGGAACTACACAAAAGCTTTTAGTTACACATGCTACACTCCTCCTGAAAAGGGGTCGGCGGCACCCTGGCGCCCTTGCAATTTGCCAAGACCTGACGGATTATTGAATTCCAAATTGGCTCATGCCTTTACGTGACCGCAGCGGTCCAAGCTGGCTCAACGCCTCAACGTGGTCAGAGCGACCGAAATACTTTTGAGGTTCGTTGGAACCTGTCGCGAGCTTAGTCCCCCCCCCTTCCCCTTCCCTACCCCTTTCTTTCTTTGCTTTTTTGGTTTTCCTGAATGGAATACTCAAGATCGCCCCTTTCCTTCTTTGGTGTGTCCCTGGACGATTGTTCGTAGCTGGGAACACCTGCCCTTTTCTTTCTCTCCTATCCCTTTCTCTCCCTCTCTCTTTCTTTCTTTCTTTCTTTCTTTCCTCTCTTCACCTTCCTTCCTCCTTGAGTGTCCCTGGATGCTTTTGTTAGCTGGGAACCCTTCTCCTCTCTTCCTTTGGTGTGTCCTTGGACGCATGCGTCGTAGCTGGGAACACCTTCCTTTCTTCTCTTTCCTTTTTCTCGTCTCTCCCTACCCCTCCCTCCTGTCGGGACCTTAGCTTGGGACGCTACTAGGGGCTCCTGGCCTTCCTACTAGGTGCTAGGATGCTACTTTGACACTACTAGAGGTTCCTGGCCTTACTACTACTTGTCCGCGCCTTCAATACGCCTTGTGTGTGTGTCCAGCCCTGTTTCGAAGGGTTAATTCACTGGCAGGGGGATCAGGCTTCCAGTGACTAACCTGATCCAACGAAGCTGGGTCACTGGAAGGGAAGTGGTTGAGGACGCTCAACCATGTACCTGCTGAGCTTTTCACAAGCTGTCACTCCACTCTTTCTTTTTTGCTGCCATAGTGGTTTTCATGCTACTCCCCACAAACCCATTCTTCCACTGCAGATGTGCAGCCGCGCTGATCGTTGAGCAGTCTTGCATAAACATTGTTAAACAATACAATTGCGCCGACTCTTTCACCTTTCCGTCCCATCACCATTTCTCTGGAAATTGAGTTAGTTAACTGAAAACCAACGTCGAAGTGTGAGCCGCTCAGCCGTCCCACGTGGGTGCTGGGTGTGATCCTCCGCAAGGAGGCGCTGTACTCATTCCGGAATTCATTTCACTGACTCGTCGTTTTCCTCATTGACTTTTCCTCACCGCTCCTTCTCCACCCTGAATTCACTGCTCATGCAGCCGTCGGGCTAAAAAACGAATTCGCCAGCCGCCGGGCTTAAAAACGGCTTTTTTCCTTCCCCCCCCCACTTGAGGCAGGTCTCCCGACCCCCCCCCCACTGCGTTCTACTCCCTACCTAATTAGGGTAACATAGGGAAATGGTACTCGACACACTTGTGTGTCGGTGCCTTTCCCTCTGTTGTCCCTTTTCTAGTCTACTCTACCCGGGCGGTTTAAGACTAAAGTCCCGCTCCCTAACTATTGCACTGTAATTCGTCTCGGCTAAGTAGTCAGTAATCCTAGAGTGCTAGGTGTTCAATCACACACATGTACACACACACATGGACATACACCCCCTCCCTGCCCCCCTTTTCTTTCTTGCGCTTTCCGTCGTTTGTTGGGCTTTCTCTCAGGCTTTTTAGGTGGCTCTTGAGGCTCGTTTCCCTACCCCAGTCAAGGGCTAAGTATTCACTTTTCTTTTTTCTACACCTATCTTGCTCTCTTGCCCTCTTAGCGCTGCTCTTTCTGTCTTTCTTTCTTTCGTTTCTAAGGCTTTTTAGGTATCTATTCAGGTTTCTCACACGAGCGCCGCCAAGCGGCACCGTGTGTGTGTCCAGCCCTGTTTCGAAGGGTTAATTCACTGGCAGGGGGATCAGGCTTCCAGTGACTAACCTGATCCAACGAAGCTGGGTCACTGGAAGGGAAGTGGTTGAGGACGCTCAACCATGTACCTGCTGAGCTTTTCACAAGCTGTCACTCCACTCTTTCTTTTTTGCTGCCATAGTGGTTTTCACGCTACTCCCCACAAACCCATTCTTCCACTGCAGATGTGCAGCCGCGCTGATCGTTGAGCAGTCTTGCATAAACATTGTTAAACAATACAATTGCGCCGACTCTTTCACCTTTCCGTTCCATCACCATTTCTCTGGAAATTGAGTTAACTGAAAACCAACGTCGAAGTGTGTACCCCTTGTAGTCACAGGGATTCTTTTGAAGTTTGATGGAATGACACTCACAAATCTTGAAGTGTACCACGTTGTTGCAGTTTAAAGGAATGACACGCGCAAATCTTGAAGTGTTTCATAATGTTGCAGTGCAACCTTTGGAGTCACAATCCGTTTTTTTGGTGGGTTTTGTTGCTGTTTTTTTTTGCTGCCTTGTGTCTTGCGGGCCCTCTAACCTATTGCGCAGGCCTCCAACCTTGTCGCTATGGCCTCTTTCTATTTGCGGTGCCCTTCTAGTAGTTTATATGCCGGTTGCCCTTAGGGCCGGCGCGTCCACTCTGCTCGACTGGATGCATTCCTATCCAGTCTGCAGAGTTGGGGCGGGCACAGATGCTTGCTGCTGCTTGCTGTTGCTTGCTGTTAGCTCGGTACTTTGGCCTCCAAACTTAGGTTCCAACTTCTAGCGATTGCCTCCGCTTTAACTTTAACTTGCCTTGTTTCTTAAGGTTTTTTACTTAGGCCGGCGTGTGGCGCCGCTGTCAAGTCCGTACGCATATCCATAAGTGTGTGCGTCCCCTCTGGAGTCACGAGGTTCCTTTTGGAATGTTTCTTTGATTAACAGCAGGGGAGTGGAGCAGGCCTGCAGAGCTCCACTTAACAAAGCTCCCTGCAGTGTCCTGAGGATATCACTGGAGACGTCCAGTGACGTACCTGCTCGTTCTGACCTGAAAATTCCCAATGGTCCCTGCTTTTATAACTACAACAAGATTCTGGCCTTTGCAACGGTTCTTCATCCCCAGACTCTGCGCGTTCCGTCGTCCTTGTCGATATATCGCTTCGGGGTTGGGCAATTTGGATCCTTGGAATTTTGGAAGTTTGATAACTTCTACTCACCCTGGTTTCTTCGGCTTTTGCTTAGGCTGGCGCGTGGCAAACCGCAACCAAATCAGCATGCATTTCTATAAGTGCGTCTCTCCTAGCGAGAGCCCAGGGTGACCGTTGACCCTGCAGAGTGGCCCCTGTGGACCCGTCGAACGGGTAAGCAGTCCGCAGCGGACAAAGTAGGCCAAAGTGATTTCCAAGACTTGCTGAACACTCCAAGCTGGCTCATGCCTTTACGTGACCGCAGCGGTCTAAGCAGCCAGCCATTTTGGCACGGCGTACGTGGCCGCAATGTTGTTCAAGACTCGTTGGAGTCTGCCGGAGCCTTAGTGTGATGAGTTCTCTCCGGATCTTATTGAATGCGCAATACTATGATGCGGTCCACAATACTCGAGATACAATGGGTGTCCCGCTGTCATCTCAGCGAGATCTTTGGCTCGGCGGCCATTTTGCTGCCGGGTTACAGCTACCATCTAAGAGCAAGACGGAAAATGCGAGCGACCTTTTTAGTCGTAGTTTTGGGGACGTTTGCTTTGCTACTTTGTAACGTATGTTCATAGTTGTTCAATTTTCCATGTTTGAGGCTCCCAGCATTGAATTTTCTCCTAGCCCTAGTTCTTACTTGCCTCGATCTTTGTTGGCGTGCTTCCATGGACCTTTCAACGCCTACCATATAGCCTTTCAAGTGATTCACGCTCTCGTTCCTTGGCATACCAACCTCAGTCTGCCACTTGGTCGTGAAGGTGTCGTTGCCTCCCAGTCTTCCTCGCGTCGACAACCAGTACAACCAGGACTACGTCGACCGTTTGCACCCATACAACATGGCCGCCTCCCCCCTGCACCACTGGTTCTATCGTAGTTGGTTCCACTCCTTTCGCGTATGGTACACTCAAGGATTCTGATAGGTCGTGAGGGTGTGAACCAAGCCATCGATGAGATGATGCTGCCTCTCAGGAGTCAAGTTGCGAAGCTCAGAATTTCCGGAAATGTCGAGGTCCAGGAATCGTTGGACCACACCTTGCACCAAGAGGTCCAGTCGTTCAGATTCCAAAGATTCAACTGCCTGCCGTTTGACACCACGAATCTAAAGGGGCTCGCTGTTCCTGGGCAAGGATTCGTTGTTCCTGTTCATGTACGGCAGCTTCCCAGCGATCACAAGCTTCCCAAATGGGAAGACTGGGCTGTGCCCCCCAGACAAACTGCCGGCGCCCAATACACTTCCTCCTCCGTACTATATAGCACCGCCGCGAATCACACTTGAGTTCCGAATGTATCCAACATTGGAGGCCGTACGCGCCTCCTCCATGTCTCTTCATTAGTCTCTAATTTCTCACTGTACCACTCTGCGGCGCCGCGGATGCCACGTTTTTCATTGCGTGTTTTGATTTGTCGATACTTCCACCCCACACCGACTTGACCCACCTTCCCCTCCGCCCGCAGCTATCTTGGCTTCAGTTTGTCCCTCAATTCGCCACGAAGCCTTTGGATTTTCTCTCCACTGAACCATTGACTCAAACTATTCCCACAGAGTGGAATGAAATTCGACGTCCCTTTGAGACTCTGGGTCAAGTACCCAACTTGCTCACCGTTCGTTTCGAACTTGACATCAACCTCCTGGTCCATCAGCCCCTGAACTATCTCACCGTGACTTTGACCGCAGCTCAGATTGAAGACAAGGAGTGCACGGTCGATGATCTCAAGGATGTCATCTTTTCTCGCCTCGGCCACAATCGCGCATCCTTTTGGATGGCCCTGCCCTCATCCGGAGACTCATGGGTCTGGGAGGTGCCCTACACCTATACTTTGGAGACTTGGTGCTCTATTACGTGAACTCGAGACGCCCGTCCCATCATGAGTTCTCACGTGAGGACACGCCTTTTCCATACCGTCCCCTGGCCTATATTGCTCCCCGTCTTCACGATGACGCCATTGGCCAACTCCGTCTACCCTTGACCGCCTACCAGACCTTTAGGTTCAATTTTCACCAAACCTTACCCTCGTCCGGAGCTTAATTGAAAACCCTCGGGGAGGCGAGTGTGTGTGTGTACTGTGTAACCTTTGGAGTCACTTGTTTCTTCGGTCAGCAGGGGGTGCCAGGGATGCACACTGGACTGGCACCAACGAAGACGCCAGTGTTGCATCTGTGAAATCAATCCGGGACGCCGGATTGACGTACCTGCTTGGAGAGAACCCTACTTAATGGACAAGCTGTTCCACTTCTGTGTGTTGCAGTAAGCAGTAAGCGTGTATAATGAAGCGGTGATTCACCTTGGATCTTTGGGCCTTTTGAGCTCCGCAGACCAGCACGATCCGTCGTCACCCTGTCGCCGCCGCTGGCTTTCGTGGTTTTAGGTTTTGGAGGCCTTTAACTTACTACCTGGAACCTTAGGCGGTTTACTTAGGCTGGCGTGTGGCAAACCGCAACCAAATCCGTACGCATTTCTATAAGTGTGCGCACGCGCAAAGTTTAGCGGTAGGAGACTTTGGCGCCGCTCGCTCTCGACGCTACGACCGTTGCGAGGCTATTTTTGGCACCTAGGTGGGGGCGCCAATAATGTTGACTGGAAAAGGAAACTTTAAGGAGCAGGTGGACTCAGGATGCTCTCAATTTCAGAAGAACTGAGTTGACAACTTTTGGATCCTTTTGGCGCTACAGTTGCCAAAAATGATGTAAACAGTAACCGCTGACGGTCTCTGGCGATCGAGGTTCCCTGACCATTGTGGCAATATATGAGGGAGGGCATGTGTGACTGAGGAACCCCCCAACCACGACCGGCCGACTCCAAGCTTTCCAAGATATTCAGAAGCCAGGCCCCCGTGCCGGAAAACTACTGACCCCCAATTTGCCAATGAAAGAAAAAGAAAAAGGGAAAAAAGGGGGCGCCCCCAGCTACGAAAGAGAGCCTGGTCTGATTGGTTCAGCAAGGGTAATCACAGCAAATACCCATCAGGACGTCACCCCACACGTCACCAAAGAAGGAACGTCGACCGCAAACTCTGTCTAGCCCTGCTGCAAAAAGAACAACCTGCGACTCTCTGGGGAGGCCAGACCAGCCAAATTAGCAAATATTTTCCATAAATTTTCACAAGAAAAACACCCTCATTCCACACCACATGGCGCAAGTATAGCTAATTTTTTCTGGTAGGTCGGGAAAAGCGGCGCTTGCAGGAAACAAAGGCCCCTGTTCCTCCACTTGGCCGGAAGTCGGAAGGGCACCAAATTATCAAGCCAAGTGGACTTCGTGTTCGGTGACTAGATCCCAAAAACCTTTTTTGTAAATATTGAAACGTCCAAAAAAGAAAAATTCTCGTCCGCTTTGCTTGTCCCTGCGTGGGCACTCCCCGCGTTGGTTGCTCACCCGCAGGCCTGTGTTACACATTCAAGCTAGCAACGCTGAGAGCCTGACCGCCACAGCTGTCTTGAAAGCTGCCCTGAGCCAATCGAAAAAACTCAAAATGCAGTGCGCGCCCCTGCATCAGCTTGAGGGCGTGCAAATCTTTCACAAAGCTAACGGCCTAGCGTGGTTGATTTTTTGCTTGGAATGTCTAACGTTGTCACAGCGTGGCAGCCAAATTTAGCTAAGCAATCGCCTGTCATTCACCGTGCCAAACCATGCCCGAAACATGTTGTCATCATCGCGACAATCGTTCTCTCTCACTCGTGTGATCTTGACTTTTGTCGCTGGGCTGTCCAGTCCCTTTTGTTTCGCAGTTAGGCAACCTTGCGCGACCCACCTTGTCCCCGCCACGGCGGTAGGGAGCCTTCAAATAATTTCGGATCTCAATGTCTTTTCGCGTGGGGTCGTGATCGTGGCCAAACAGTGGAAACTTGGTTTTGGCAGAGTTCCATGGGTTTTCGGCGACGCCTGATTTGACACACTGCTTGCCATTTTGGGGAAGAAGTGCACTGTCCAAACGCCGCGCGGCCTTTCAAGATGTCGCGTTTACGTTCGCAGTGGCAGTCTGGGCTGGGAGTTATGAGATCCAATGCCAGCCCACAGCAGCATCAAATGGGTGAGATCCCCTTTAACACCACTAGGACTTGTACTCCGGGCATGTTTGTTAGCCATTGAGAACCATGTTGCTCCACCTACCAGCTTCGATGCATCGTTTCGCTTAAAATCATCTCCACCGGCTGCCATGGAGAGACCGTCAAATCTCTTTCCCTGCTGATTCTTGTCCTGCTGGAAATGCGTGGGAAGCGATTCGTCGCCTAGAGCATGGAGGCTGCTTTGATAGGCCAACTTCATCCCAAAAAGGTCATGACTGCGCGCAGCCTTCCAACACATTCTCTCAAGAACTGAACACAAAAAACAAAAAGAGGCCCCCAAACACAAGGAGGGAGCACCTCAAGCGTAAGAGGTAAGTGTGGGGAGCCATTCTGCTCGCGCCTGAACTTTCACAGAAGCCTAGACAAGAAAGGCAGCCAGCGGTGAAGCTGTGAGTTGTTAACAGCGCGAAATGAGGCGCTCAGCACCTAGCTTGAGAAGGCCAAAAGACTGGCAACTCGAAGTCACATGCGCCGGCGGCAAAGCTATAGAAGCAGGTGCCGCCTCACCAGCCCTGGGTTGTCGCAATGCTGAGCTCCGTGGCAAAGTTAGAGCTCAAACGTGGCTTCCGCAACATTGTGATCAGCAAAGAGGCGATGTGGCTTCACCTGTCTGGCTGTGACTGGTGGAGCCAAAGTTCCACCCCGGGCCAGATTCCAACTGTTATGCTCTGTGGACGAAGGGGCGCAGCTGCCACTGACAGGAACCGGAGTAGGCGATGCTGCTCAGCAAGAGCCCAGAATTGCGATGCGCTTAGAAAAAACCTGCTACCAATGCCGCGCAGAAACCTATGATGGATTGAGCTGGAAGATTGAAACGGACACCGGGCGGTCCGTTTTCCGTAGGGAGTGTAGCCGTCATAGGAACGGCACCTGCAGCCAAACACAAGGAGGTGCAATGGGCTGAAAGACAACTCCAAAGAGCCAAGAGGGCCCACTGGGACCAACGTTCCAGGAAGCTTTTCAAGATGAGCCGGACCGAGTGGTTCGTCAGCCTACGCGAACAGCCAGAAGATCGAGCGCCTCTTAATTCGTGAACCTTCGCCTGAGCGAGGGTCCGATGATCAATGATCAAAGTGGCAACCGAGGGCCTCATCCCTCAAAAGGTTCGCTATAGATTGGGCAAAGATTAGGAGCAAGCAATGCCATGAGCGTCAACCGAGCCATACCGAGCCACAGATCAGGCATGAAGGTCCTCTGCTGGAACGACACCCATCAAAAGTCAAAAATATGCGGGGCCCAGCAACGCCAGGAACTTTGCTTCAAGTCCAAGGCTCAGAAGATCAACTTCAGTCACTTGAAAGCCCGCAACAGGATGCGGCGGATTACTCTACTCTACTTTTCGTGGGAAGTCGCTTCACCAGCTGACAGGGGTAGGGCCAAAAGCTTCTCCACCTACCATCAAACAGCGAGTAGCGACCCCACCAGCGTGTGCGCCATGGCGGGCGCCTTAGATACCTACCCACGTCGAGACCTGGCAGAATATTTTTAAAATATTCCTATATACTTCCAGCTATATCTGAAAAAATATTCTGTGAACTGACCAGTTAGTGGAATAGTTGTAGGAATTTAATATTCCAGAAAAATTCTAGTTTTTTTATTTAATTATTCTGGGTTTAGTTCCACCCTCCTTCTCACAAACAGGGTTTAGTTCTAGTTCTTTGAAGTAATTATTCTGGGTTTAGTTCCACCTGCCTTCTCAGGATTGCCCATCTTTCATCACTCCTCCAACATGTTCTTCATACAAAAAATATTCTGGGGTTTGTCTCCAGTATCAGCATCACATACCTCCAGCCATAAAAATTCCTGTAAAATTATTCCAGAAAAAATATTCTGTGAACTCACGGTATGACCTGGAATATTTAATCAAGGTACCCCCCATTGTGCGCCCAATGGAAAGTCTCACGTTGCACGTCTACCAAGTTCCTGAAGTGCCTGTCCCTCATAGAGTATCATATAGTCATATAGTACATCGAGCATGCGTCAGAAGTCCCACGCTTATGCATCCGCGCCGCCGTGTGAACGCTTGCGGTAAGCTTGCTGACCTGCCCAGACAAAACTCGGACACCTAGAATGGAACCCAGTGGAACTCCAGTCTATAACCTCCAAGGGGATGTAGGAAGGATATGAGGGAGGGGCGATGGGGCACCTTGATTTCATGCTACATACCGTCGCATACCCAAGTCTCCCTTCCTTACACAAAGTCTCGTCTCAGACCTCACCACGTTAACTCGCTCTGAGCCTAGTATGCCAGTTGGCCAACACCGCGTCACCGCAACCCGACACCCAATGCCAAATGAAGAATGCTGTGTTGCTTTGAAGCATGCAATCGTTTTTCAACTGCGACTAGCTGTCTCACGGACCTCCATCACGAGCGCATATCAGCAAGAATCCCAGCTGTCCCAGCTCTAACTTGACATCTCACCACCGCGCAAAGATCACTGTACATCACCGCACTGGACAACACAAACAAAATATGCCGGCAAGAGACCCCCAACAGTGACAATGTGTCGGCGATGATGGTGAAGATGAAGGTGGTGATCGCGCTGTTGATGGTGGTGGGGTGGTGGTGATGATGGTGGCAATGAAGGTGGTGATGATGGTGGTGGTAATGGTGATGAAGGTGGTGATGAGGTGGTGGTGGTGGTGGTGGCGGGTGGCGGTGGTGGGGATGAAGGTGGTGATGGTGATGGTGGTGATGATGGTAGTTTACTTCCAGAAAGTTCCAGGTCCACGAAATACTGCGCCTGGCATGAAATCAGCGCCTTAAGCTCCACAACGAACTCCGCCTCCCACGAAATCTGCACGACAAGGTCCACAAAGTTTAACGCCTGCCACGAAATCCATGCATCCAGACTTACGAAATACTGCGCCTGCCACGGAATCTGCACCTCAAAGCGCTGCGCCTGCTATGAACTGTCAAGGTTCATATACAGCGCCGCGCTTGCCTCGAGATCTGCGCGTCAAGGTCCACAAAATGCTGCGCCTGCCAGGAAATCTGCGCGCCAAGGCCCGCAAAGTGCCATGCTTGCCGCGAAATCTGCGGACGAAGGTTGACAAAATTCTAAAGCTGCCCCTGCTTGAATCTCCAAATTAAATTTGGTGCTGCCACAAGGCGATTCGCAGCAAGAGCACTCCGACAGACAACATCAAGACGCCCGACCGCAGGTTTCGTCCTCCGATTTCTGAAAACGAGCCACATGTCCGCCTGCAGCGACAGCAGAGCGTGCCGAAGAGCACCACCCTGTCCAAAGCACTGCGCCGGCCACGAAATCTACACATCGACATAAAACTGCTCTGATCTCCTGCACCTGTCACGAAAAGTTGACTTTAGACTTTGGACCACTAAAGCACGAGGTTGCCCCTTGCGCCTGCCACGAAAAGGGGTCACCAAGTCTCACCAAGTACTGGGATGAACCGTGGGTTTATAACAGTTACTAGAAGTTATGAGGTGAGTTGTAAGTGAAACTGGCTGTAAGCTGTTATAACTACTTGTAACTACTTATAAGTATGCTAAATGGTTGCAAAACTTAGCATAAATGATGTTAAGTAGTTGTAAAGTTTATAGAACTTATGACTTCAAGTTGCTAAGTGTTATAGAAGCTACACTATAGTATACCATGTTATACCATACTTGAACGGTATATACAAGTATGTTATAAATACACTTACAATGCCTAATAACCTTGATAAACCCACGCTTCATCCCAGTAGTCAAAAAATTGCGCACGCGCCGCAACGAGGGCGCAGTCCCGAAGCACCCCCGCCGGCCCACCAGGTTCAAATGCGCTTCGAAGATCTCGAGATGACTGCGCACGCTGTAAATAGCTGCGAATGAGCCGCAAACGGATGCGCGCGCCTCGATCAAACACCCGTCCTTACAATAGCTATACCGTAAGAACCCCTCTGAAGTGCTACCACACTGGTTGGGGAACGCCAAAAACACAATTTATCGCCCACCAGACCACCATTGCACTTCTTCAGGTCCTACCAATGCCCACAATCACTCTTTGATAGAGCGATCGCGTGCTTTTAATCCACCATGGAAGTGACTTGTGCGCTTTGCCAAGTCCGTCTGCCTGCCCGTCGAGCTGGTTGAACTCTCGCTGAAGAAAGCTGTCCAGCCAGTGAGGAAACTCCTACCACCAAACAACCGAAATGAAAGTGTCTCAACAATTCAAATTCTCAACAATCCCACTTCTTGATCTGGCGAATGGGATGAAGTTGGCTGCCTGTGTTGCTCCAGCGGCGTTGAGCCGACTTGGCAAACGCATCAACAAAAACAAAATAAGATAGAGTAGGAGCTCCTCGATTTTGCTATGGGGAGAGGAACCCGCGAACTGCAAAGTTCACTCTTTTCTATGTCACATGCATCTTGTCAACACGCAATTTGGGCACGGCATGCTTTCGCTGTTCTTCTTGCTGTTTCAAGTCAATGGTGGGCACCTATAGGGGTGGAAGGCAGTGGAAGGGGGATGCGTGGGTCTTGTTTGGATCTGGTGGCGGCGGGGTGACTGGGGCGATGATCAAGATCGTGCGCGTTGGATGCGTTACTGGGCATCGTCGAGTGGCTGAGATCGCGTGTGTCGAGTGAGGTGAAATGCGAATTTTGGTTCCAAATGCGTATAACTGTCGTCAAAACCGAAGGTGGAGGTTGTGCGAAAGTGTGTTGTCGTCGAAAACAAAGGTGGAGGTGGCCAAAGTGTGTAACTGTCCTCGAAAACGAAGGTAGAGGTTGCCAAAGTGTGTGGCTGTCAGCGAAAACGAAGATGGAGGTTGCCAAAGTGTAAGTGTGTAGCCGTCGTCGAGGCCACTTGGTAGTACAAATGTAGTGCAGGAAGCAGCTTCTAGGAGCTCTGGCCTGAGAGCTGGCCCTACACATGTAGTGCGGGAAGCAGATATGGCGACTTGGTAGCACAAATGTGCATGAGAAGAAAATTCACTAGCTGTGGCGTCATAGTGCAAATGTAGCGTGGGATGTGTTCAAGCTACATCTGCAATATCGCTGCGCCATGCGGCTTTGTGCGGTTGTGGTGGAAAGTGGGTTTGCGTAAGTTCGTGCCGTTGGGGAAAGAAATTCGCGGGGAGCGGGATGATTGGCGGCGCGTACGATGCTTAATGTTGCATCTAGTCTGTGGCACACAGTGTGGCCAAATTACGTCTGTGATGTCGCTGTGCCATGCGGTTTGCGCGGCCTCGGTGGAAAGTGCGTTTGCGTGAGCCCGTGCCTTTCAGGGAAGGAAAAATGCTGGTGTGAAAAATGTGGTGTTGCCGTGTCGCTGGGGAGCGGGATGATTGGCGGTGTCCACGAGGCTTGGTGACGTTACATTGTTGTATCTGGTCTGTGGCACTCCGTGTGGCCAAATTACGGACACCTGGTATATCACGTATATATATAATACATATCATATATAGATAAAGGTGTTTTGATACAGGTGTGGAGGTATAATAGGTGATGCAGGTGTTGAGATACAATTGATGCAGGAGTTGAGATACAGGGCCTGAGGTGGTACTTGTGTTGAGGTGCAGGTGATACAGGTGTTGAGATACATGTGATACAGGTGTTTAGATACAGGTGATACAGGTGTTAAGATCTAGGTGAAGACACCTACAAATTTCATCTACACAGCTATAACTTCGAAATCTTTATATATTTATATACTCTTAATCCAGATCTTGTCCCTATGCTAACCTATGTCTTGAATCCAGAACATGTGAACACCACTGCTATTGTTGGAAATGTGCTGGAATCGGTCAGATATTTTTCTTTGATTTCACAGAGAGCAGGGGTTTTGTAATGCTCCTTTTTGCTTCATATAGGCCAAACAGCCCAAAGCTTCGGAGTTTTGATGAGTGTTGTATCATAATCACCTGATGGTGCTTCACAATCGATTACAAGGGAGGAAGCAATGTCTCTCCTAAACAATAAGGGAAGAGTTTATACATGAAAAGGCTGGGACGCTTCCAAAGTAGATTTGTAAAGAAGGCAGCTCAAACTTTAATCAAATTGCAGAAGACAGGATAAGACGAACACCGCTTGTCTTTTTTGGTGACCTGGGAGTACCATAAATATTGGACAGGTTGTTACTAGTCTTGTTGACCCTTTGACCGCGAAAACACCCTGAACTCAATCACTCAATCACTGCAAATTCAGGAAGCAACATGTCTCCGTCCGCGAACTCCTCCCATGTCTCGCTGTGCATAGGCTGAGCATGAACATTGGAATCCTGGAATGTCATTTTCGGCAAACGGTCAAGCTTTTAATATAAACTTGAAAATAGTTGAAGGACTTGGTCGATTCATTTCATAGAATGCACACACCTTGTGTGGCCTTTGCATCATTTTGCATCCATAGTATTGCACTGCGCTTGATGCTGGATGTCAGACTTCAAACCCATTTAAGAAACGCCATGCTGCTTTGTGGTTATTCATAAACATTTTTCTACAAACGCTGGCAGGACAAGCTGAACATCCAAACTCAAGAGCTTTTGTTTGATACCTGATCTGTCGACCCAGGAATTGTAATTTTGACAAAACGATCACTCAAGTGAGAATAGTATGTCCGACTGAACCTTTTCCTGTGCAATGCAGCACTTGAGATGATGTTTGGCTTTGGACAGTCTGTTAACTTCCCACGGTGACATGATGACTTGAAATAGGATTAAATAGGAGGGATTCGTTTCAAGCGAAGAAGGTCAAGAAATCGCAACAGCAAAAGCTACCCTACCCTGCAACATCACTTGCTGAGTTGAAGGCCCCCAATACCTCATTCTGATTCTCCAAACCATCAATACTCGGTCTTCGATTTCTGATCGCTACAGTATGCTGCTGCTACACTCAGGTCTTGAGCACACCATTCGCAAGCCTGGCGGTCAAGATATGTCAAGATGCTCGTTCGGATGGGCACCAACTTGCCGCTGCGCTTTGTTTGTCACTTGCTGCCACTTGTCGCTAATCCCTTTGTATTGGACATGTTTCAATCTGACTCAAGGGATCCTTCTATGCTGTTCCTCCGCATGTCTTTCGCTCTGCTTTGGATCGCACACGATTGGCATCTTGCATCATCAATTTTGCTGAACTGGAACTCTTGATCTGCTGGTTGTGGGTCAGTTTCAATGGCACACGGATCGCAAAGAGTTGCAAAAGTTGCAATCCAACTCGACAAGCCACTGGAGCACGGCTGGTCGCGTCGAACAAATTACGTGGGAGGACAACTCTCTAGACCGCGGTGCCCAGAGACTTTGCGAAGAGTTTGTGCCGCGTTCGATCAAATTGTCCGCGAAAATCACAGTGACCATCGGTGACCATGTGACTGTCTGTGTATTTGGAAGAGGTGTCAGACTAAGACCATCAAAGCCACACCGACTGCAACGAGGCTTGGCTAGCAAAGCGATGCTTTCTTCCAATTCTGCTTGATGATCTTGATGGCATCACACGCTTGCCTGTGTACCTCTACCACTCTTGCACAGAAAACTCCTTGGTCATGTCTGTTTACCACCTCCAATAAACCCCTGCTTGGTCGACGCCCTCTGGAAAACAGTGCCCAAGACCTGATCAAGTGGGACTGGTCCAGAACTCAATGAAAGACGAGGCTCCTGATCGCACTTCAAAAGCACAATAGACCTAGAACTGCATCAGCAAAGGTCCTTGACTGCACGGTGGGCTGCCAAGGCCTGTCATTTGAGAAGTGAATAGGGCGGGTCTAACAAAGGGTGTAAGTAAAGAGATGCCACCCTTAGAAGGTTTAGCAATGACTAGCACGGGCATCATTATACGCCGCGTTTATCATTGAATCTCAACTACAACTAGTGAGCAAGCATCGCACGCATCCCACGCTCCTGGCGCAAAGCTCTTCTCGTTCCAGCTGCCAATGTTCCTCGGCATCCCCGCTGCTCACTTGCGCAACACATGCAAGGTGTGACCAAGTTCCATTTTCAATTGCCAAGAATCTATTTTGGTCAACACCCTGCAGCAGGCAATTGATTGCTACCAAGCTACTCTGCCCACGCTCTAAAGCCATCAGCCGCTTGGACCAAGACTGGCGGGGAGGCGAAGTTGCACTGACAACTCGCTGTCCTGCAAATTAAGCAATGTGGGAATGCACCGATGGGATCACACACCCAGTCGGACGCCAGACTGGCTCCGTCAATCCAGCCACCAAGCAGACTGCATTCTTCCAATGGCATGGTCCAAAGTTCGAAGACAAGTCATCACCAGTCTGGTTCCCTCTTCCCATTAAAACTTTTTGAAACTCATGAAACATCATAACACATGGGACACTCACCGTCACCTGCAAAAACTGTTGTCCTTTCTCAATTTGCAACACATCTGATCGTGGCATCTTCTCCAAGTTCGCGGTCAATGCTGTGACGGTTGAGTCCTTGGCGGTGCAACATGGTCGCCAAGGAAAATAACCTGGAGGAGGTGGGCTTATGTAGCAAATCATCAAATTACCATTCGCCTGCACTGGAACTTTGCTCCAAGTTTGCTGAATTTGCCGCAGAAGGGACTTCTATTGATTCTATTGGCATCAATGATCAATGGTCGATCAAGGCACTCACAAGACTTTGTGCTAGGTGCCCAGATCTGTCAACCCACAATTTCATTTAACGTCAATTTTTCGGAACAATTTATGGGGTCACTCAGCCGTCTGGAAGTTGTGAGGTGGCAGTGCCAAATCACACCTTGTCTACGCTGGACCTGGCACCGAACCAATGAATGATGCTCAACAAGCAGCTCATGTACCCAATCTGAATGTTATATGCCCAACACGTAGGACAGGTTTTGTTTCACGATTTTTTGGAAGCTCTACCACTTCTTCCCATTGCTTCAACCACGATTCGATGCGTTGGACATCTGCGCCCAGCTGGTCCAACCTGCTGACAGCATATAAGAGCCATCTGGCAGGAACATTTGATATTCAAATGATATATATATATGTGCCTATAAGGTAAACGCATGTGAAAACTGAGGGGTGGGAGAGCTGGTGCTCGTGAATAGTGAGTAGTGGCATCTCATGCGTTCTCAGCACGAAAGGAAGTCAACAGGTTGGTTCCTTATTCTTGGTGTGCCAAAGAACAATTCATATAAAACCATTTTTCCGGGTTTTACATGGTTTTACTATTGCAGCATTGTTGCAAACACGCTTGAACAAAGTCTGAAGTTTAAAGTGATATCTGCAACTTCAGTCTGCCATGTTGCCTTTTCCAACACAGTGTTGCTGTAACCCCCCCCCCAAAAAAAAAACGGTGATGTAAGTGACACGATCCAGCTTCCTCCTGGTTCTGGAGCCAAAGGAACACTCAAATGTGGGAAACAAGAGTGTTGGCCAGTGTCAGTTGGGACTTTCTTAGGTAACAGGCAGCCCATGAACAAATCACTCCCAAACCAGGAGGAAATACAAAAGCGTCGCGTCACTAGCACATATCAATTTGAGTGCCTTGCACTCTTTGATCATTCGCGACTTGCCGCTGCAGGCAAATTTTCATAGTTTTCACTCCAAAACGTGCTCCAGATTCCCTGGCCTCTCGCCCAAATGGATCAAAGCCTCATGAAGCATCCTGCTATAGGCATCCACTGGGTCAGTCATTGCGATGACGCCGATGCTGGAGCACATGGCGCCTTGCCTTTTGGCACGCAGTGTGCAACTATTCTCTTGGTTTTCATCGTTCCTACAATGGATTCTTGGTGAACGCTCATCAGTGCTCCCCCTGCATCTCTGCCAACTGCTGTGCAAAGTCGGGAAGAAGCTATCGCTCGCATTGGTCCAACAAACAACATGTCAAAGAGAAAAATGAGCTGAGCTGGTGTTCAGAATCTCAGGCGCAGGGCCAATGTGACTCAGGGCACTTGCGGAATTTGAGCAACTCTGGCGTTCGGGAACTCCAAAAACAAATCACACCGCTTTGCTTAGAGCCGGCACCGAAATTGGATCCAAGCACCAAGCAAAAGAGCAGTTGAGTTGCGGCCTGGCCTTCACACTACAGCAAGAGTTGCATGTTGACCCTTTTACATACACATATATAACGCTCCTGAGACACTCTTCTGAAGCGCTTCGCACTGCAGCCTTTGCTCTGAGTGTTCTCTGAAGCTTTGCTTCCACGGAAGTCTCGAAGGTCGAAGTCGAGACAGAAAGCCAGCTGGCTAAAGAAGAGCAGGCGCAACCTCCTGCTTTCCACTTCTCGAGCAAGGCCGGTGAAGGCACCGAACCGCGCAGGCGCCAAAGTAGCAGCCGGGCGGCTAAAGCCGGTAGTCGGGCCTTCTAGCAGCGATACCTCCAGCGTGAAGTCACAGAGCAGGCTCATCAACGAAATTCTCTTTCGAGCCTTTGAACTAAGCTTCGCCAAAAAGCTATCAGCAGCAACTTCCTGGACATAAGTTCCAATCTTTGATCATTTTGAGTGATCTCAGCCTTGGACGACCGTCTCGCTGTCCTTGGAATCTCTATGCAGGAGCACCGCTCCTTCAGTGGGGAATGGTCTGGGGGCTCTCAGACCTTTTGGACGCTTGGATTACTACCGAGGAAGTGGGGCCCGACAACATGGGGCGCGCCGCCCCGAAGATAGAAAGCCTGGAAGATGTTATAGCAGCACTCGAGCTCGATGCCTCTCTTCTTCAATCCGAAGGAGAGGCCCACTACACCCGGCTGATGCTGAAGGAAGAGCAGCTGATGTTGGAAGAGTTGTGGGGAGCACCTCCCATGCCCCCTACAGCGCGTTCAAGTCCCTAGAGCCCGATAGATTGCAGTTCGTTGGATTCCCTGAGTTTGATCCTGTTCCCTTTTTGGACAAGGAATCTGCTGTTTACTCCCGACCTCTCCGAGAAGCCCGGAGTTGAAAAGGCTCCGGCCCGAATAAGTGCCAGCCCTAGTTCCAGGAACTCGAATTCGACAAAGGCCCCGCCCCGTAGAGGAACTAAAGGAAGTAGTGGAGGCCGGGGCAGGAAGTGGCCTCTTTTCCTCTTTTGACTTCGAGCCGTCTCTTGCTCCCCGCCAGCAGCAGCCTGACTTTTGGCGTTGATTTGGCTGATGCCTTTGGATGGCCTTTTCCTTTTCCCTTCTCTCTCCTCGGAGGCTTCTCCTCTTTCTCCTTGTCTCCATCTTCTTTCTTCCACAGCCGCTGAGCCTGCGCTTGGCTTCCAGATAGGAGCCTTGCACTTTCGCATGGCTGTACCCCAGGACCCATCCAACAACGCCGTGTCCTCATCTCTTGCGCTCCACGCGCCACGTGCGCTGAAAACGACTGGAAAGGAGGCGGAGGATCCAGCAGGGATGTTTGAGCCAACAGCCATGAGGTTGCATCGATTGAGGCCTGATCTGCAGCGGCCACAGCCAGGGAGCAACGCACTCTGGCCTGCTCCACATCGCCCCGCGGATCAGGCGTCCCATACTCCAGCCACGCACCAACTCCAATGAACGTGGGAGGGGTAGTTCTGGATCCAGAGCGGTTTTCGAGCCACCCGCGAGCCGTGATGTGGCCCGATCCTTCGCGGCTTGAGCTGCCGAGCGCCGTAGTCCGAGTACATATGATGGTGCTCTTGTAGATGAAGCCGGATCCTCCAAAAATCTCTTCTTCAGCATACGGAAAGCTGTGCCTCTCTTTGACGCAACTGACCCAGATCCGTCTGGCTCTGCCGCGCCTCCTTCAATGTCCAGTGTCCGACGATGAGCTTGGACGAGATCCATCTCCTGCTCCCTCTTCCCCCTCCTCCTCCTCCTCCTCCAAATCTTTTTTGTTCGTCTCGATAGTCTGGCTCGGAATCTGGCGCAAAGTCGAACTCCAGGCTGGACTCCAGATCTTTGCGCAAGAGCCCAACCCAAGCACGTTGGTCGAATTCTTCTTCCAGAGTTTCTTCTCGAGCCTCTGGATAGCAAGCAAAAACAAAACACATAGGATCGGCTTTGTGAGAGTTCTGATGTAAAGCGCTCTCAGCGATCTTGCGGGCACAAGCTTCAAATGGGACTGTAACTAGGATTTTGGCATGCCTGCCTTGAGGACCAAACCTAGTTGTACTACTTATAAGTAGGTTTTAACATGGTTTTAACATGGTTTTAACATGGCTAAGTAACTTATAAGTAGGGTTAGGGGTTGGTGAACTTATAACCTACTTGTACCTACTTAAGGCCTAGATAAGTTAGTTAGTAAGTTAACATAAGTAGGTTTGCTTAATTCTATTTTTTTCGGGTTTAAGTAGGGCAAGTAACTTATTTCTACTTATTTCTACTTATCCTAGTTATGTTTTCCTTGCGAATTTTAATGTTTGCAGTGTCTTGCCAGAAATTTTGCGTCAATTTGCAAGGTTTTTGAAAAAATCGCCGTACATGTGGTTATTTACATATTTCCTTTTTTTAGATCTATTTTGCACTGTGAACGATTCTATTTGGATTTTCGTACTTTTTGTGTCGGCTGCTTTGTTTGTGTCGAATTTGAAGATCCATGTGGTGAGTTTGATAGGTATAGAATATGTTTTCTTTTCTCACGTTATGTGTGTTTATAAATGCTGTAAGTAAATGAGCAGTGTGACCGCTGCACGCGGCCGCTGCACGCGTTTGTATGTTTATATAAAAGCTGTAAGTTAATGAGCGGTGTGACCGCTGCACGCGGCCGCTGCACACGTTGGTGTGTTTATAAATGCTGTAAGTAATTGAGCGGTGTGACTGCTGCACTCGGCCGCTGCACGCAGCTGGTGAGCCAACACCCCCTGAAGGCAGACGATATTTACAACTTGACCTAGCAACAGCTGATTAGGTTCAAAGCTATACAAACGTAAATGCACACCAATGAAAAATGAAAGAAATGTCAGAAGTGTTGGCTTTTTTGAACAATCCATTGCTGCAATGGATCCTGTGGCGCCGCTTTTGCGACAGACGGCGAAGAAGAAGCCGGAGCCAAAGCCTGTGCCAACGGAGCCTGCTGCTGTGCTTTTGCAACAAACACCGAAGAAGAAGCCCGAGCCAAAGCCGGCAGAACCTGTGGCAACGGAGCCTGCAGCGCCGCCTTGGCGACCGGAGTCGAAGAAGAAGTCTGCGCCGGCTGTTGAAGTTGAGACGGCATCCAGTTCGACAGGACCACAAGCTACTGCACCCATGGAGCCTATGTCAGAGGAGCACTGGGCGACTGCGATTGCTGCGGCATTCGCATTGGGTGGGATGACAGCTTTGGAGGCCCCTTCAAAGCCAACAGGACAACCTGGTTGCCTGCGTGCGCAGGGCCGTGTACATTGAATCTATCAGCGGTGTGCCCGCTATACTATATTTTCTGAGAATAGTGTATATATATAGTTTTTCTAGCTTGAAATGATCTATATATATACACAAACGAGTTTATGTGACAGGTGAAGCTCAAGCTGACCAAACTTCAATTTCTTGTCTGGTGACTTTTGAGAGGACTGCCAGCAGCTCCTTCGACCTTGCAGCCACCGCCAGCTGTGTCCGCACCTGCTGCTTGTAGCGGAGTTGGAGATCTACCTGCCCCGCCACCGGCAGCGCCATTCCTTCCAGGCTCTCGTGTGAAGGCAGCGCCACTGCCTCCGGTTCAAAGACTTGATGGAGCGCCGCCCCTGCCACCGACAGCACCATTCCTTCCAGGCTCTCGTGTGAAGGCAGCGCCCCCGCCTCCAGCTGAAGAGGTGTGGAACCGCACCTTGAGTTGCATCCTCATTACTTCTTGCGCCAGCACAAACATTGGTTTGATAAAGACGCTAGCCCTTGTCAGCGGTGTGGCCGCTATTCCACAATGTGCAAATGGTGTGGTCGTTAGGTTTGAGGTTCTTGTTTGTACTGAGTCTGGGGTGTTCTGCTGTGGCAGCATTTACTGAGGTAGTGACGCCGCAACTGGTTGCTTTGTCGAGGATTGGCTACCGGGCGAATCTACGCGGCAGCGGCAGATCAGGCTCTTTGGGGTGAAGCGCGCTAGAGGCGGCCAGAGGAAGCATGAATGGTACACCTGGTGACCGGACTGCTGCGGTGTGACCGGTGAAAAAAGTAGAACCTTTCATGGATCAGGGCGCTTGGTGACTTGTAACAGCGGTGTGCCGCTATAGTTTGTTTGGTAGCGGTGTGTCCGCTCAATTAGGTTTTTGTATAGATTGGTTTCAAGATTGCACTTGGCTGCTGATGAACCAACGGTCAAGACTTTGTTTTCATAGTAACATTTCGGCTGCTGTGAACCTGACAGCCATACCTATATATAGGCCAGCGTATGGCAGCTGAACGCCGCAAACAACAAAATTATCAGTCTTTCGTTCACTATCTGCCTGGTCCTCTGTGGGATGGATTGAACCAGTACCCAAAGGAGAAGGCCACGGGCTTGTTGCTACGACACCTGTGGCTGCTTGGTCTTCGCTGCCCCTCAGAGAGCACGTTCGCTGTGATCAATAGCCTCCTGAACCTGACCAGCGCACCCAACAGGCCCAAGTCGACCATGGAAAAGTATGAGGCCCTCCAGCAGCTCAAGAAGGATTGGAAGAAGTTCAAGACGGCCAACCGAGACCACGACAACGTCTACATGGAGTACCAGGAGACGCTGCCAGAGAATCCAGCCGATCTACCGGCTGAATTCGCCCTGGTTGCATTCGAGCAAGATTCGTTCGTACCCTGCCGTGCCTAGGCTGATGCATATGGATCTCCAACTTTTCCATGGGTTTATATGTAATATATATATAATAGAATGTGTGACCGTTTGGGACAGCGGTGTGCCCGCTTTGGAGATGCATGTTTAAATGTGACCGCTTTGCCGCACAATCGTTCGTTGGAATATGAAAATGACAGGTGTTCCCATGGACGACCTGCTCATGGCTGTTGGAAGCACGCAGTTGCGGATGCCGAAGACTGAGATACAGAAGAAGAAGGCCGACGAAAAGGAGGGCCTGAGCGGCAGCATGGTGCAGCTCGCGGAGTTGGCCTTCCGTCTGGGTCACAATGCAGGGGCTGTAACGTCTTCATCTTCGAACTCGGTGACTTCTCAGCTTCGTCAGCCTGCAGAGGTGCTGGCAATCGAAGACAGGAAGCCCGAGACCTTTGAGGACTGAAGTTCTGATCATGCGTGCCCACACATTCGGATTCAATTGTGATTCGGTATAGGTAGCGGCGTGATCCGCTAAAATTTCTCAGTCTGGCGGTCCTTCCAGGACTGGGTGTGTGTGTGCCAGTCCTGGCTGTCCTTCCAGGACTGGGGGTGTGTGCCAGTCCTGGCTGTCCTTCCAGCGTGTGTGTGCCAGTCCTGGCTGTCCTTCCAGCGTGTGTGTGCCAGTTTTCCAGGACTGGGTGTGTGTGCCAGTCCCGTAAGGGGTTCTTCCACTCTCCCACAAAGAAATATCAGGAGAACACGGCTGATGCAGCCGACCAGCACGGCTTGGTGGAGCCTGCTGCAGTGGCAGAGGAAGCCGACCAGCGCGGCTTGGTTCTGGCTGCAGTGGCACAGGAAAACCCAAGTGTGTCAAAGGATGGCAAGGATGCATGTCAGCCAAGTGGTGGAGCTGGCGCTCTGGATGAGTCTGCGAACCGTCTCAATGCTCTTCTTCATGGGCGTGGCCAGACAAAGCCAGAGCGCTTGGGCGCGGCCCCCAAGTCTGGCATGAAGCGTCCAAGCAGCAGTGGGAAGCCAACTCTTCGCCGACCAGCCGCCAGTTTGGGCGCCAAGACTTCGAAGACTAAAAAGCCCAAGCAGACCAAACAGAAAAGCCAGGCAAAGACCACAAAGAAGAGCAAGACTCAGAAGAAACCCTCCAGTAAGAAGATGACGCGGACGTGCGTGTACTCCAGAGCATATCACCAAGCACAGGGTGGTTCAGCTGCATATGGTCATCCTTATACAATCCCCTGCCCACAGATAGACTCCTGTTCATCTCAATAATTATACTTGCGCATATCCATATACAAATAGTCGCATACATACTTCTCATGGACCTGGTTTTAAAAGTATATGTTGGTGTGCTGTACGCATCATGGAGAGTACCTATGCTTTTGGGTACACAGCTTCCCCAAGGTAAGTTCAAGGGTTTGGCCTATGAAGCGAGATTGCAGAGGGCACGAGCGGCTGGAAAGCGTGCTGTGAAGGAGGTTTTTGGCGCGTAGTGAGTATACGGCCTGCACGTCTCAAGGACGATCGAAGCCGGTTCAAAATGTCTAGCAGTGCTCTGCTTCCTGAAGATTTGTTGATATATCAGACCAGCGGTGTGATCCGCTACATGTATATAAAGTACATATATGAGCATGATATGCTGAAGGCTAAACGGAGGGTGTGTGGAGAAAGGGGGTCAGCAAAAATCGCTTATACGAAGTTAGTGCATCAAAAATACCTTCCACGAAGTTCTGCGAAGGTTTCTGGGATTTCGTTGCAGTCAGTTCTCCTACTGGCCCACCATTCCACGAACTGTCCACGAACAGCCTTGGGTTCTACGAAGGCCACGCGCCTTCCACGACGTTAGTAGAATAGGTTTTTGCAAAACCCTTTCTGTGCACTACCCTTCCGTTTGCCTTTGATATGCTATGCATGTGCTTAGCGGTGCCAAGCTGTTGTTCGTGACATTCTGATGGAATTCGTTCTCATGGCTTCCAGACATGCGACGACGTATAGAGGGCCATCCTGACTTGCAAGACCTTTTCCCGATATCATGGCCCCTGCGCGCTTTGAGTATGCGACCATTTCGTGGTCCTCGGTGGACGCTCTTACCAGCCCTGATCTTTGGACGCAATGGGCTCTGAACGCCGAGTTCAGGGCTTTGCCTCCCACTCAAGAGATGAGACACAGGTGCGTGGACAAGGTCATGTACTTAGGAGATATGCTATACAAGTACGACCTGCAGACCCACCCAAACATGGAACATCAGCCGAACTGGCACGTGTAGCCTGACTGTATGCATAGATGGAAGACACAAAGAGAGAGAGAGAGAGAGAAATATAGATATATATAGTATCTTGGCTTGTTGGTTTCTTGATACGCGGACATGGAAACTGCTAAGGTACTTGAACTACAGCCGCAATCATGCTGTGCTGGTGCGGCCCACATCGCCTCAGGACGGGCAATTGCTGTTCAAATTTGAGTGGGACAAGGTCAAGCTGAGCTTGCGAGTCACTTCTGCAATGTCGGGCGAGTTCGTGTGCACCGTCCCTGGCCGATGGGGGCCCCGCGCCACTTTCTGGAAGGCTGCAGTACAACCAAAACCTGTATACCAACATAGAAATGACTCTATTCATATAGCGTTTCTTTCTACAGCGGATAGGACTGTCTGTGTGGCCAGGCATTGGACGCTTTCGTTGGGCTATGTGATAGGATGCAAGAGGAGGCTGACCGCATGCGCTTGGGATGTTGCCAAGTCCTATGCATTGTGAACAAGAAGCACTTGGACCCAGAGCTACGCAAACAGACCTTGGAACACATCTTTGGACATGCGGCTTTGGAGCTCGAGCAGATTGCCACCTCAGATGAAGTGGACGATACGACAGGAACATCAAAGTCTCCTGGCTCATGTCAGCGGTGAGTCCGTCTTCCTATTTGAAAGCCAACCCTTTCCAACAAGTGTCTGCCATTTTTCCTTTACCTGTCAGCGGTAAGTATAGCTCCAGCATCTTTTTTTGGCACAGCAGCGGTGTGTCCGCTACTGATCAAGAACTTGTTCCTCATGGTTTCGCGAAAGTATTTTTTCGGACAGGCGGAGGGTGCGATCGGAACCACATACATTACCGATGAAGACATTACCGATGAAGCGGAAGAGCCAAGTTCTGAAGAAGCCTGCCAGCGGACTGAAGCGCCCTGCGGGTCGCACCTGAGTCGCATGACACGGGAGAGTTGGAGAAAAAAGATTTGTATATTTGTGTCTTGATTTTGAATTGTTTGATAGCGGTGTGCCCGCTGTACTCTGTACTTAAGTCATGGGTTGCTTAGCGGTGTGACCGCTCTTCTAGCTCAAGAGTACCTATGCTATCGATTGAATATCTATTTGCTATCGATGTGCTATCTATGCTATCGATCTGCTATCTATGCTATCTATGGAATATCTATGCTATCTATGGAATATCTATGCTATCGACAAAATATTTCATGAATTCCATACTCAAAAATCTTTGTGCTATCTATGGAATATCTATGCTATCTATGGTATATCTATGCTATCGATAGAATATCTATAGAATATCTATTGAACATCTTTAGAATATCTTTCAACTTTTCGTCGTATATTCTCCATGTCTATATTGATTTTGCATCCACTTTGTTCCAAATTTGTCTTTCACTTCTTGCGTGAACCAGAGGCTATAGCCAGGCTGTTCGCTTAGTGGCATTCCCCACCAAGACCACATGGCGGCGGAGAGCCCTGAGGCACTGACTGTGCCAACCTCGCAGACGCAGGTACTCCCGGCTGAGGATGGCGGCTCACAGAGCTGTGTCAAGTGTGGCCAAACCACAGATGTGACCGATGGAGTCATGCGCGGTTACGGTGTGCAATGTCGTGACTGCACGAACATCTACCAAATGCTCTACCGGCATCTTGGAGGTCTTCCGAGCACGCTGCAGTCAATGACCGCGGAGGAACAAATGAGCTTCTTCAAGGCCAGCTCAGACATGGTCAAGACATGCCCAAAGAACGGGCGGTGGGCTTTGGTCAAAAGCAATCTCATTGCTTCGATGACCCGCTTCAAGACCAATCAGGTGAAAACGACGGTTCGCAGGGAATTTCTTCCGCTGAGTGTCTGGGCGACTCGCGGCTTCGATGTTGAGAAGATCAAACAACACGGCCAAAAGCAAACTGATGCGGTTACTTGTCCTTTCATCGACTGCTGCTCTGCTTTTGTACGCGTTGTAATTTCATCTGTAAATTATTTTGTAACTGTAATATATTTAGCGGTGTGCCCGCTGCAGATCTTTGAGTTCTGGAGTAAAGACCTTTGTCGTATAGCTAAACAGTCTTCATCGAAGCCACTTTAGTTGGATTATCAACCCAGGTCTTTGGCGAAACTTGGACAGCGCCATTGTGCGTCATCGATGATCAGGAAATCCGTGGCACGATGGAGCAGGAGGTCGCCGAGAAGGAATACCAGCTGAAGGCCAAGAAGAAGATCCCGAAGTCCAAGGCCGCTCCAGTTCCTGATGCCCTCGCCCCCAAGGCAATTGAAATCGATGATGATGTGTGGTCCATTCCTAGTGAGGATGAACGAGTTCGCCCTGCGGGTCGAGCAAACAAAGTTCCAAAGAACAGCGCTGAGAAGGATGCCGCGACAGCTGCCCGCAAGGCTGAGCGACAGAGGTCCTTGGCTTGGCGCAAAGAGACTGCCAAGGCCAGCAAGTCGATCGCCAACCTGAACAGTTGCTACGTTTCCTTGAAGGGCGTCATGGACAAGAGTGCAAAGAATGCTAACGCGCTCTCTGTGGAGATGAAGAAAGATCTCCAGGAGGCCGAAGGCAAGATCAGGACTCTCAAGCTGAGCCACTCGTCTTGTCAGGAGGAAACATGCTTCAGCGGTGTGACCGCTATACTTTTGATACTCGATACATAAACATACTTTATACATTGTTGTAACTTAAACACATGTCATACTATATTGCTTGTCTCTGAATGTAACTCAGATGTGTCCCATTATGTCTCTGAGGTGCCACTGCGATCATCGGAACTGATGAAGCGGCGCGAGCTCAGAGCGATCCACCGGCTTTGGGAGAGGCATCTGCCATCCAGGATACAGTCAAGGCTGCTCAGATGCTTCTGAAGGATGCTCGAAAGGTTTTTGCAGAGAAAGCAGCCGAGGCAAAGGCTCTCAAGGAGCCAAAGCCCAAGAAGGCGAGCAAGCCAAAGGGCAAGTGATGTCTTTAAATCTTAGTTTTCCTATACTGATGGTCTCTCCACTCCAACAGTGCCAATTCATGTGCGTGCTTACACGCAGCTGCTCGCTGGGGGAAAAGCCTTTCTGGTGGTGTTTTGTCGCGTGGTCGCAATGTGTATTTTAAACCCTAAACCCTATATAGCGGTGTCTCCGCTTTTTTGTTTTTTGGGGCACTGACTCGTCGTGGATGTTGAAGCGCGATGTTGGATGCTTAAGTTCCGCAGAACAGAACGGTTTTCTTATAGAGGCTTCATGACCAATGACAGCTCCATGGACTCCACAGCAAAGCTGCTGGAACTCTATGGGCCTGAGGAGCAACAGATGACGCGTGGTCCTGGCCGTAATAAACGGCGCCTACCTCTGCTAGATGAGCGCAAATTTCGCAGAGCTGTCTCTGTTAGAGGAGCGAGCGAGCGAGCCGCTGCTGAGATCTGGAACATCATTCAATCAGATGAGAAGCAGATTAGTCGTGGGCGAGCTGAACGCCTGGTCGCTGCAGAACTGAAGCCATGGATTGACGCCATGCAAGATGAACCTTTTCTTCGCCATGATGGATCCACTGTTGCTTTGCCAGTGGTGGATTTGAAGCCGTGCCTCCAGCATCTGTGTCAGAAGTCAGTTGACTTCAGGCATGCCATCGAGAAGGCGTTGGAGAAAGGACCTCTTACTCCAATCATTTTTTGCGATGAGGAATCTATACTACATCAGCTGGTTAGAGCTGGGACATCTGATCAAAAATGCAAACTGCTGGATCCCATTAGCAACAGTGCAAAGCTATTGCTTAGCGCAGCTGCAGGGTGGCCACAGCTCCATCATGATCAAGATCCTCGACAAGGTACTCACGGAAGAGAATGAAACAGGCTTTGCTCTGTCAGGGGGCGCTGTCTTCAAACAGAGAGCGCAAGCTTTTTTCATAGGTGACTTGGAGGCTGTCCGAAGCATCTATAGCTTCAAGGGGTCAGCTGGTATGCGTCCATGTGTCCTTTGCCTCAATTGCGTCAAGTCTGGTTATGTGGCCAGTTCGGACAGCTACTTCAAGGAGGTGTCCGCTAGCTCTGGTTTCCTGCCCTCATCAGATGATGATATCTTTCAGATGTGTGAGCGTCTGCGGGCTGCTGTCAGCAAGGCGGACCTTGAAGCTCAGGAAAAGTGTAGCGGGTTATCCTACAATCCAGCATCTCTGTTGTGGAGCCCAGCTACAAGAGTCAAGATGGCCCCAAGCAGGATCATCGGAGACGCCATGCACCTTTACTTCGTGAACGGCATCTGTAGCTGGGAGATCGCCTTGTTCTTGCAAATAGTTTTTGACCACACGCCGCTCACTTTGAGTGCTCTGCAAGATGTTGTCTTGGCTGGCAACTGGGTCTCTGCAAAGTCGACGGGCCGCACCAGGACCTACCTCAAGAACTTGTTCCACGAGCGCCTGTACGGTGATGGTTTGTTCAAGGGCCAAAGGCATCAGACTACAGCTTTGTTGCCCCTGTTGTTTTACTTCACCTTGACGGCGATTGAGCCCAGTGGCCTGGTTCCAGCTCGCTAAAATTTGGCGGTGTCCTCATCAACGAGAAGTCCATGGCTCGCTTGGACGAACTGCAGCGACGTCATCATGATATGTTTGCGGTCTACGATGTAGACCACAAACCAAAGCACCACATGAGGCTACATTTGCCGGCTCAGCTTCTCAGGACTGGTTGCTTCGTGGACTGCGAGCCTGTGGAGGACAAACATCGCCTCTATAAGAGTGGCGTAGCGGACCGCCAGGACTCTTTGGCGCAGAACCACTCTGCCTTTTCTCGGTCGGTGCTACCCAGGCTGCTCCAAGACACTTTGCTCCAACTCAACAAGCACGGCGTGCCACATTGGCAACTTGTGGGTCACATAGAAGAGGCAAGCCTTGAGGACAAACTGTACTTTGTCACGACCGAGCTGCAGACCAGCAAGAGCCACTGGGCGATACCAGTTGTGACACTTCAGGCTGTTCATGTGTTACCTTTACCAAAATTGTTTTTGGATTTTTTCATGTACCACCGTGTCCGCTCAAGTCATAGTACCATTGCACTGTTTGCCGTTATCAGGCTGCTGTCTCATCGGCCAACGCCTCTCGAGTGGAGACATGCTTGTGTTCAACGACCACGTTGGCGGCATCATTCGCGATTGGTTCTGGCATCCTACCTAGGGTATGTACGTTCGGCACGACAATTTTCAGCTTGCGACTTGGATTATTTTACTATACTCACTTCTTTTGGCGGTGTTTTTGCTGTTGTCATATCTTTACCGCTGCGGCTACCGCCGCACACAAGGTGGACGAGCAACCTTGGGGCACGCGATGGAGACGCGCTGCCGACACGGTCATCACCAAGGTATCGCAGACACGGCCTCCAGTTGCCCCTGCTTGGTATAGCTTCTCGCAGGACGGTCAGTACATGACATGTTTGCGCTAGTGTCCAGAGCGCAAGTTCAGCGCAAGCAGTATACCGCTCACATCTTTGGGACACATGAAAAAAGGCAGCTACGCCAAGGCGCGGAAACTTGTTTAGCGGTGTCTTCCGCTTCAGGACATGTCTTTACTCGAAGTAGATACTTTTCTTGTCTATATTTACATGGTCATGCGTTCAGCGGTGTGCCCGCTACATCACATCCACACAGACATATATATCTTTACACGCGTGTTAACAAGTAAACACGTGCGCGCAGCAAACAAACCACACTCACTGGTCAACTTGCTTCTGATGCACGCAAGGCTTCGCATCATAGGTTTGGACTGGGACTGACTGGGACTGGACGACCAGCTTTCAGCCATGATGAACCGTTCTGACTTGGATCTCTGTGCCCAGCGCATTGAGAGCGAGAGCGGCTGGAGGCTTGCCGCGAAGTGTGCCGCACTGTCTGCTGCCAGCTCGGCCTGTCTCAGGATACTGCCAAGCTGGGAGACCTTTGGACGATGCTCACCAAAGTTGGTTGCCTACGCACTGGGTGCCCTGGCTATGACATCCACGTGTCAGGCATGGGACGCCTTCCTATGGTCTTGTGTGAGATGAAAGAGTTGAAGAAAATCAACCCATACCACATGGTGGCTTTTCAGCGCGAACTGCAGATTGCGAAGAAGCTCCTTCCTGAACTTCGCAGCGTGGATCCACATTTCTTCTCTGCTGTGGAAGATTTGTTGGACAATGTCATTGAGATGGTTTCCTAACGCACCAAAACTCGACAGTTGCCGACAGAAAAGTGCTGTGTCGTGATACTGTAGATGTAAACCGTATATACGAGTATAAGTATATCACTTTGGTGTGCCCGCTAATGATAGATATACTACACGATGTAATATTTACCCAGGCTTTTGAACAGCCCGATTAGTTGTTGCTGAGCGGTATGCCCGCTATTTACTCTATGTAGGTAAAGCAACAGTATAAATCTATATATATATATATATTTTTTATACTACAGAAATATTTCCACACAGTCACGTTGGTTGCTGTTCAGCGGTGTGCCCGCCCGATATGAGCAAATACTGTTAAAATGTAAAAAAATAGGGTTTCCACTCTGAAAAACAATGTTTTTTAAAATAAATGCAAATCAATCGAAAGTGAACAGTCTTGAGCAACTTAGTACCATCATCCCTTCCAAACAGGCTCTTTGTCAAAAAATCATTTAAAAACAAAAAACAAGGTTTTTAGCACGACCTACTTATTTTTACTTATTTCTACTTATTTCTACTTATAAGTTACTTATAAGTTACTTATATCTACTTATGTTATATCAGCATTTTTAATTGACGAACAAGTTAACATAAGTAGACCGTAACTAGGTTAAGTTACTTTAAGTAAGTTTAAGTAGTACAACTAGGTTTGGTCCTCAAGGTGCACTCCAAGAGCTATGATCGAAGTGGAAGAAAAGCCGCCAGGAAGCCCTAGCCTCACAACTTCGTAGTTCGGATTCGTATGCCCTTGAGATGGCACTTTCAGGCGGGTCGTCCCGCCCTTCAGCAGCTGCGATCTCCTCTATCAGGGATCACCTGCAGGATCTGAAAGTCTCCGGCCTTCAAGGCGCAAATCACTTCGCACTTGGAAGGGAGACCTAGAAACACCGAAGATCCTGCTTCCCCGTGTGGGATGCGCAACCCCTTCACCTCACCAAGTCGGCTGACAACCTTTGGCGGGTTGCGCACCACTCCGGAATAGTCCCGGCAGATCTACAGTACTTGCTGGACTGCTTGATCTTGTGTCCGCGATAGTCGGTCCCGAAAAATCCCCCCAGGAAGTATCCGACGTCCTGACAGATCCTCTCTCGCTCTTCCCAGATCTTCTGATGACCAGCAGAGCTGTCCCCCCGTTGCCAACTAGCCGAAGCTGATGGGTAGGAGGTTGATGGCACTGTAGAGCTCTTCAAACAATGCCCCTCGGTTTCCTCACCTTCTCCAAGCAGGCTGCCAATCACGAAAAGTACAGACCAGATGGAAGAGTCAAGGGTACCCCAAAGGAAGTAAGGGCACTCGCAGGCCAAGCGGCTGGTTCCACCGCGCGTTCTCAGAGGCCAAGTTCCGGAGGCCCAACGCAAGGGTGCTCAAGGAACCCCCAGCAGCGCCTACCGCTAGACGCCCGGGCATCCACTTCGAGTGAAGGCTGCGTGTCAGGCAGCGGTTATGTGAACATAGACTTTTAGGTTGTCAAACCACCCAAACTGTCGTATATCAGAAAAATATATACACCTTTAACTATATACCATTCCAATTTGCAAAGAACACGCAGCTTCTTCATTGGTAAACGAATCCACAAGCCTTTTTGCTTCTGTACTACTATCTTGCACTAAACTATGTACACACTCGTCATGCTAGCTACAGTACTGTACTGAGTTGTGTGAAAGCTCCAAGTGAACTTGGATCTGACAGAAAAATCAATACAACGACACACGCAGAGCTGCGTGAAAACAGAATGCAACCGTGAAACCACTTCTGAGAAGTGAGACCCTCGAAGATCCTTGAAGGGTCCAGGAATGCCACTGTGAGAGGCAACACAACCACACTGGGCCTTGTTCTGTGGAAGTCCTGGACTTCCCAAGGCACATCAAACCTGCCGAGGGAGGGTGTGAAACTGCATCTGCGTTGGTCAGCGGTTGGGGTCACCTGCCGAGGTCACCTGCCAAGCCAGATTTCGCATGTTTTTAATTTAAAGTTCAAGCTTTATTAAGCACCATCACATCATCTTGAGTCTTTGCGTCCAGCGCTCCATCTCTTCAAACAGCTGCCTCAAAGGGGAGATTGATGCTCTGCCTGAGGTGTCACAAAAGGCAACCAAATACCATGAGAAAACAACTGCGTCACCAACGAAGAGTCTTGTGCCACCTGTTCTTTCACTGTCATTGTTGTCATTGGGGGATTAATCAAGTCTGGCATGACACTAGACAGGGCCTTCTGAAGCAAACCATCGTACACAAACGCATGCCATTACAACCAAGTCGAGAAAAAGGGACTTCAACGCTGCCACTGACTGCGCGTTGTACCCGCTGGGCCACACACCCTTTGGTGGCATCAATTGAGACAGCCGCTTCACCTTATGCACAAACACACATAGGTGGGAAGGAGGGGCGTTATTGTACAAATGTGCGCGCGTCTTACTTGAAAGTGCAATATATAAAGAGCCATTCAGCATAGAAAACATTCCAGAACGACGTCTCTGGGAATTTTACGCTTTTGGCTTACTGGCGCCGCAGCCTTGGGAGCTGAACCACATCACCGGAGTGGTGGCACACGCCCCCAAAGCTCCTAAACAAATTGCCTACCTGGTGAGTGGACCAGTCTAGTCGACTGGTTGGAGACCATATAGCTTTAGTTCGAGGGGTGGAAATTTTCTAGCGAGCTTCTGTTCGACTCACGCAAACCGCCGTATCTATTTACTCCAGATCGTTTTGTCACGTGTCCATCACTTTCCACGATGACTCAATGCTTTACAGTGTTGCGGTTTATAAATCAGGATGCGCGATATGCCTGTATATGCATGCGCGGGCGCATCTTTCTTGTAATTTGCGGAGTATTTGGTACATGACCAGGCTCTGCAGCATTCACTCAACAGCATGGCCCTTGTTCTTTTTTCACTATCTGAACATGTAAAGACGCGCGAAAGCACACAGCCAGCTCGCTCACGAAGCAAATTATCAACACAGCGTCAACTTCATGAGCCAACTTGTTGTTGTTCTCGATCATACAGATCACGGTCTGGCGAGCCATTTGTGAAGTGTGTCGCAGGCATGCAAAGCACAGTCTGTTTAGCTACTTGCTAAGTGTGCTTGCTGGTTGGCTGCCTTGCTTGCTGGTTTGCTGAGATTAATGTTGCCACGGTCCACGCAATTCTTCTCATTGGTCAACCTCAATGCTCATTGTAAAACTCCCATTCGATGCACCGCAAGTTGCACGCACGAGACTGCCTTATCTTCTGTCTACCCACTGGGGACGCTTTCGGGACAGCTGAGCAATTATAGTATTTGGAGAAATGCATCCAGCATTGACCAACTCAACCCTTTACAGTGGTTTCAGAGTAGATGGCACAG